TAGATAGATAGATAGATAGATAGATAGATAGATAGATAGATAGATAGATAGATAGATAGATAGATAGATAGATAGATAGATAGATAGATAGATAGATAGATAGATAGATAGATAGATAGATAGATAGATAGATAGATAGATAGATAGATAGATAGATAGATAGATAGATAGATAGATAGATAGATAGATAGATAGATAGATAGATAGATAGATAGATAGATAGATAGATAGATAGATAGATAGATAGATAGATAGATAGATAGATAGATAGATAGATAGATAGATAGATAGATAGATAGATAGATAGATAGATAGATAGATAGAGAGTGAGACAGACAGACAGACAGACAGACAGACAGACAGACAGACAGACAGACAGACAGACAGACAGACAGACAGACAGACAGACAGACAGACAGACAGACAGACAGACAGACAGACAGACAGACAGACAGACAGACAGACAGACAGACAGACAGACAGACAGACAGACAGACAGACAGACAGACAGACAGACAGACAGACAGACAGACAGACAGACAGACAGACAGACAGAGATAAAGACATTGAATGAATGAAAAACAAGACACGTAACAGCAAAGTCGATCAACTCGCCTTTAAACCACATTCAAAACAATAAGATAAATCAAACTTCTTTACGAAGTCTTGCTAGTTACACAGAATACAACATATTGTTGAGTAATACGTCAACAAAAAATGCGTGGATGGGAAATAACCCAGAATGATTCTTTATGTCTGGCCGGAACAAGATATTGCGACATAATTTGAATATTTGCGCATGTTGGCGGCGCGAACACAAATTCCGCCTTAGAAATGAAATCGTAAACTAAGATGTCGCTCACGCCTGAGCAGGGGATAGTACAAATAATGCAATGTGGGATCGATCATTTCCTTCCTTGGGCGACCTCGTTTATCAGCTGCTTGTCATTCCAGCGATTACTGCCTAAAATCTTCATTGTGGGTTGGATATTGAAAACTAAAATGTAAAGTCCGCTATCTGACCAGTTGATTGTGCTGCTTACACGAGGCCTGCTTTCTAGAACTGAAGGTGCCGGTGCTAACTATACAGTGTCAATAAATAGGTACCGGTACTACACATACAGTGTCTATAAACAAGTGCCGGTACTACACATTCAGTGTCTATAAACAAGTGCCGGTACTACACATACAGTGTCTATAAACAAGTGCCGGTACTACACATACAGTGTCTATAAACAAGTGCCGGTACTACACATACAGTGTCTATAAACAGGTGCCGGTACTACACATACAGTGTCTATAAACAAGTGTCGGTACTACACATACAGTATCTATAAACAGGTGCCGGTGATAAACACAAAACGGTGGTGCTACTAACCATAAAAAGTCTATTTCTGTGTCACTGGGAAAAAAGTATTTGACAAAAGTGCCTGTACTGCGCACCGTTTCGTACCGACAGGAAATAAATGCCCTGGCTAGATCAATATTTGTTTAAACCGATTGTCACGTGATGTGACTGTAGTAAATATCAGCACGGTCGCATTTATCTCCCATGACATTTTCTGACAGCTCTTCTAGACCGTATAGACCAGGGAGCTTAAGATCAAGGTTATGAAGCAGTGTCTTCTGCGTGAGGGTTCCGGGGCTCCATTATGGGGACAACAAGGATAGACCCACTCACTACCTTCCCAAGGTTCTGGGGGAAAGACTAAAATCCAAAGGTGGACGAACAGCCAGAAATTTTTGCTGGATGTTTTGAAAGATGCGAGGGCTCGAAGACAACTTATCGTAAAAAAACAGAAAAAGACAGTAGTTATTTATTGTCTATATAACCACTGAAAATACCTGTCTTGCGTAGCTGCGTGACATTTTAATATTGTATCTCAAGAGCAACGACTTCATTGCACCGGGGTTTCCCCCATATAGCTCGACCTCTCTCCGACGACCGTCTAGCAACAGGATGAAAGCACTACATTAAGCACGAACTCCAGTGCTCCGGCAACTATCCCTATGGAATTTTGTTAAAAATATTGCCCCTCGTGGATCGAACGACGTTGTCGAGAAACGAACCCAAGCCCTACAGAGCGTGAGGTTTGGCCACTTTTCCAGAGAGCTGTCAGAACAATCGAGCAAGCGTCTGAAACTGAGCTACTCTGCCCCACGAATGTCACTCGTGCAGCCTCGAGCAAGGAATGTATCTACACTCACCTCCCGCCGGTCGTATCTTGGCTGCACCTTTCTTTCAGCACTCACAGCCCCAGGGCCGTCGCAACGAGGGTCAGCCCTGGAGATAACCTCTGTAGAGCCTGGTGCGATGCCTCCTGGTTTGTGCCCGGCTGGAGAGAACTGGGGAGAGAAGGTGGCGGGTTAGGTTTTGGTGATAGATGTGGGGGTATTGTGTCTGGTAGACAGACAGACTGATAGACACGATGACAGACAGACATAATGAGAAGATTATAATTAGATGCGGCCGATGTTGAGAAAAAACACGAACCAGTGAAACACAGAGGGATGTGTGAGAATATGAATAGAAATAGATACGGGTAGTCAGAACAACAGACAGACAGACAGACAAACGGACGGGCGGATAGACAGACAGACAGACAGGCAGGCAGGCAGGCAGGCAGGCAGGCAGACAGGCAGGCAGGCAGACAGACAGACAGACAGGCAGGCAGGCAGGCAGACAGACAGACAGACAGACAGACAGACAGACAGACAGACAGACAGACAGACAGACAGACAGACAGACAGACAGACAGACAGACAGACAGACAGACAGACAGACAGACAGACAGACAGATAGACAGATAGATAGATAGATAGATAGATAGATAGATAGATAGATAGATAGATAGATAGATAGATAGAGAGATAGAGAGATAGAGAGATAGAGAGATAGAGAGATAGAGAGATAGAGAGATAGAGAGATAGATAGATAGATAGATAGATAGATAGATAGATAGATAGATAGATAGATAGATAGATAGATAGATAGATAGATAGATAGATAGATAGATAGATAGATAGATAGATAGATAGATAGATAGAGAGAGAGAGAGAGAGAGAGAGAGAGAGAGAGAGAGAGAGAGAGAGAGAGAGAGAGAGAGAGATAGATAGATAGATAGATAGATAGATAGATAGATAGATAGATAGATAGATAGATAGATAGATAGATAGATAGATAGATAGATAGATAGATAGATAGATAGATAGATAGATAGATAGATAGATAGATAGATAGATAGATAGATAGATAGATAGATAGATAGATAGATAGATAGATAGATAGATAGATAGATAGATAGATAGATAGATAGATAGATAGATAGATAGATAGATAGATAGATAGATAGATAGATAGATAGATAGATAGATAGATAGATAGATAGATAGATAGATAGATAGATAGATAGATAGATAGATAGATAGATAGATAGATAGATAGATAGATAGATAGATAGATAGATAGATAGATAGATAGATAGATAGATAGATAGATAGATAGATAGATAGATAGATAGAGAGATAGAGAGATAGATAGATAACTACAATGTCAAGAATAACAGTACAATACACAACATCAACGTCACTGACCATATAAACTCTGTTGAGGCCATGTACTTTAGAATCTGTCGCCATGTCGAAAGCAAGGCCTACCACTACCGTCCAGTACAAAACATCCCTCCCTCAGTGACTCCCTCGCGTGAGCCCTCGCCATTACCTTCGGCTGTGGCTGCACATAACGTAATCTGTCCAACGATCCCATAACATGGCATTTCAGTTTGGCAGATGTAAAAAAAAAAAAAATGCAGCAACTGGGAGCATCACAAAGAGGATTGTGGTCCGGTAATCAGCCAATAAAGTAATGAAATCTGTGTCCACTGCATGCGATACCAGATGGTCCATTTGTCTTGTGTCGTAGATGTGTTTGTTGTGAAAATATCAACGGGAAAAGGGGAGGACGAAGCAGGAAAAGAAAAGGGAGTTGGAGAGGGATTGATGAGCATATGGTAGAGGCTGCAAAATATTTACATAAAACTGCATTTCCTCGCTTCCTGCTTGGCCTTTTAGCGTAGGTTTGAAGAGGCATCGAGTGTCAGTTTTGGTGATACATAGGTATTGCACTGACGTCCTCGGTGATTCCATCTATCCATTTTTTGCATGGTCGACCTCTGGCTCTACTTCCATTATGCCTATACGTGAAACTTCATGCGTATAGGGTACATAGTTCTAAACACATATTATACAGACCAATCGGCACAAGATAGGTAATGTGGACAGCATCACGCCGGCCGCCTTTACTTCCCGGGTCTGCATCCGGATAGTACACTCAAGGCTGAGTCGACCTGAGAGCTATGGTCATATCTTGCTCAGCCAGGGAGCGAACCCATGACCTTACGATCCGCAGGCGAGCGTCTAGCCGCTCCGCCACAGTGACTTCCCCTATGCGTGAAACTGTTTATGTTAAATTGTTGACTGTTTATGCGAAACTTTTATTTGAAGTTGTTAACTGTTAATGTTCTGTTTCTTCTTCTTCGTCTTCTTCTTCTTCCATGTTATGTTGTGGTACAAAACTAGGTTGTGTTCTCTGTGCCTTTCGGTCCGATACATTAGATTTAGAAAATCTTGAATTAGTCTCCATCTACGTCATGCATGCTAGGGAACAGGTTAGTCTACTTTGCCTCAAAATAGCGAGCCTGAATTCACACGGGGTACTGTTTATGTGAAATTATTTAAGTGAAACTGTTGACCTTTGGTGTGAAACTGTATGTAAAATTGTTGACCGTTTGTGTGAAACTGTGTGTGAAATTGTTGACGGTTTACATGAACATTTCTGTTGATGTGAAACTGTTGACTTTCAACGGAAAAAAAAAAAAAAAAACTTTTTATCAAAATTTTTGACTTGTGTTTTTGTGTGTGTTTATCATCTATTTGTGGGAAATTCCGTTGTTTTTTAAATAAAATAGTTTCCTGTCCGATTTCAGGTGACGACCACACAGATCAGACCAACAACCTTTTCAAGGAGCGAATCATTCGAGTGGACGATGATGACGACTTTGATGACGACGATGAAGACGAGGACGGCGATGCTTCCAGAGACAGTTTCCAGCATCGTCGACTAACCACAGATGCCACAGAAGGCTCACATGCGATGCCAGCTCGCGACCGCAGTCCACTTCGTGGGTCAATACCGGATGAAGGACGAGCAAGATCTCGCAATGAACACTCAGACCGGAAGTCACCTTCGCACGTGGATGATCACAGGGGTAGTGATAGTTTGACTAGATCATCTTCATCACCGGCTAAACCACTCCTGTCCACTCAAACATCTAGAGACAGTGTATCCTCCCCGCGGGCGGTAAGTCCGAACAGGAACTCAATAAACCGGACGCCTCCAACAACCACCCGTCCCAAAATCTGGTCCATATCTGACTTTATCAACACCACATCGTCGTCATCATCTTCATCTTCAGCATCCACGATTTCCACGTCATCAAGTATTTCATCTTCCTCCCAACAAAGTGCAACCATGCTGAACCGCCCTCCATTCATGGCTACTTCAGCTGTGGCATCATCATCCCCGCAAAGACCTTTACCCACTCAGGGTTTCCTCTTCCTGACTCCAGGGGCGGCGTCTCACTGGCAGTCAGCGGCAGCAGCTGCAGCGGCGTCTCGGTTTGCCGGGCTGGGGGGACACTACCCTTTAACACTGACCCATTCAACACTGTCATACCCCTACAACCTGACCTCGCCTGCAGCAGCACGGGCGGGTTTGGAAGCCCATGCTCAGGCTGTCCAGATGGCAGCTAGAGCAGCTGCAGAGAGTGGAGCCAACAGGGACGGACCTACTTCCGTTGAGAAGATGTCCTTGCATCCTCACTTTCCACGGCTGCCAATCAGCTCCCTTTTCTCACCTGCCCGTGATATTGATGGCGTCAGATCGCAGGGTAAGTTTTCCCTTTCATACTCTCACCACATCATCATTGTATCACCTGTCTGTATATGAAATCCTGACTGTGTCGTGTCATTCATCTTCTCATAATATCAACACGAAGTCACTGACTTTCACGTAATGTCCTAACTAGTAAACTCACTTTCACACAAAATCATCACCAAGTCATCCTTCTTTACATGACATCCTCACCTGGTCACGCACCTCCACGTGAAATCTTCACTAGGTCACTCACATTCAGTCATAACCAGGTAACTCATTTTCAAAAGAAATCATCGCTGGTTCACTTATTTTCACAGTAAATCATTACTGGTTCATTCATTTTCACAGTAAATCATGACTGGCCCACTCATTTTCACAGTAAATCGTCAATGGTTCACTCATTTTCACAGTAAATAGTCAATGGTTCACTCATTTTCACAGTAAATCGTCAATGGTTCACTCATTTTCACAGTAAATCATCACTGGTTCACTCTTTTCACAGTAAATCATCACTGGTTCACTCAATTTTACAGTAAATCTTCAACAGTTCACTCATTTTTACAGTAAATCGTCCATGGTTCACTCATTTTTACCCGGTCGATACGAATTCACCCCCTTTCACATGAAATCGTCACTGTGTCACTCATCTTCACATGAAATCGTCACTATGTCACTCATCTCCACATGAAATCGTCACTATGTCACTCATCTTTACATGAAATCGTCACTTTGTCACTCATCTTCACATGAAATCGTCACTATGTCACTCATCTTCACATGAAATCGTCACTATGTCACTCATCTTCACATGAAATCGTCACTATGTCACTCATCTTCACATGAAATCGTCACTATGTCACTCATCTTCACATAAAATCGCCACTATGTCACTCATCTTCACATGAAATCGTCCCTATGTCACTCATCATCACACGAAATCGTCACTATGTCACTCATCTTCACATGAAATTGTCACTATGTCACACATCTTCACATGAAATCGTCACTTTGTCATTCATCTACACATAAAATCGTCATTATATCACTCATCTTCACATGAAATCGTCATTATGTCACTCATCTTCACATGAAATCGTCACTATGTCACTCATCTTTACATAAAATCGTCACTATGTCACTCATCTTCACATGAAATCGTCCCTATGTCACTCATCTTCACATGAAATCGTCCCTATGTCACTCATCTTCACAAGAAATCGTCACTAGTACACTTATTTTCAAACAACATCGTTACCTGGTCACCGATCTTCTCCTGAAATCGTCACTTGTTCCTCCAATTTCATGCCACATCATGAACAGGTTACTCACCTTCACACGGTATCAAGAACAGAAGATCGCTTATCTTCACATTATACCACCACTGAGTCATTCATTTCCCCCACTCCAAAACAAGATCATTCTTTCTCACTTGATTTCTTCACTGAATTTTACCCCCCCCCCCCCTCCTACGAAATTAAGCCCTCGTGTATTTTTTAAACAAAAATTAAATTTAGACCCGGTCATATTTCGGGTAAACAGTAATAGACAAACAGGCCTACGAACCACTTAGAGCCACCAACTGGAAGTGGCTAATCACACAGATTAGTGGTTCTCAGACTTCCTAATGCCACGACCCTTTCTTCTTCTTCTTTGCGTTCACCAGCTGTGAACTCTGGAGGAAAGTTCTGGTTGTTCGTCCACTGCTGGACTCCAGTTATGTTCCAGAATCTGAGTGTTACGTGTGCATCCGTTTGACAGATCTGACGCATTTGTGTGCAGACTGTTGGTTCCTTGCCTCTTAGGCAGATGCACTCCGACTTCGAAGGAGGCTCCTAATTAGTCGACTCTTACGACATGCTTTTGGGCAGGCAGTGGGTCTTTTCTTGTTTTCCCTATAATAGGGCCCTGGAACCCACATGGGGGCTGGGGGGGGGGGGGCTCTGCGACCCTTTTATACAGCTCCTCTTGTTGCTGCGACCCTCAGCCATAAAATAATTTTCATTACTACTACATAACTTCGGCGAATATGTGTTTTCTGATGGTCTTAGGCAACCCCTGTGAAAGGGTCGTTTCACCTCAAAGGGGTCGCGACGCGACCCACATGTTCATAACCACTGACATATATAAACAGAGCCGGTAAGTCTCTCCGGCATTGACTCTTGAGGGTTCAAAACGCCAAAGAAGAAGTAGAAAAAGATTGCTCCAGACTTTCCTCGACTCAGTATTCCACACGGACGCGAGTTTTTTTTTCAAAACGATTCAGGAGCTCATCTAAGTTATAACACTGGTGGAATGGCTGCACAGATGACGGACCTGCAGATAACACCGGCTGCCAACGGATAGCGGTAGCTTGCAGTCGTCAAGATAACCACTGAGTGGAGAATGTCAGAGTGTTGCTATCATGACACCGAAAAATATAAACGTGTTGTTTTGACTTATTTTTTTTTTTTTTAATATGGTGTCAAAACAGTACAATACACGCATTCTTAAAAAACTAGTTGCATATCCTTCACATATAATGAATTATTCAAGTAACAGAAAGTGTACTGATCGGCACTCATAGAAAGAAGTAGAAAGATAGAAGAACACACTAGACAACATAAAAATCGAAAGTTATAGTTACCGTGCCGGTTATTGAACCTGTCGCCATGGATACAAGTGCACTAAGAACATGGTCAACTAGGCAACCCCAAAAAAGGTGTTTTATTGGACATGTCTATCGTACAACTTGAAATCCACAACTATGGAATACGGACATAATTCATTTCAAATCATTGAAATGGCACCATAGGTTACAGAAATTTATATTAACGAAGCAAATATCGAATAACAATCACAGCAACAATTTACGAATACAGTAGACCTTATTGCTTTGTCTAGAATACACAAAATTTAAGAAAGGTATTTGATTGGTAGGTTCCGGTGTGTATACGTCATTCCTATAAATAAACAAAGCGGGGAACCTTTGAGGCCGTTAAATATTATGAACTAATCAAGTAACAGAAAATGTACTGATGGGCACTCATAGAAAGAAGTAGAAAGATAGAATAACACACTGGACAACATAAAAATCGAAAGCTATAGTCACCGTGCCGGGAATTGAACCTGTCACCTCCAGACGGCGTCTGCACCTCGCCATGAATATCCTTTACATAACGGTGCACAACCAACTCCAGCACTGGGTGGCTATTTTGCAATGTTACACTCTGTACAAGTCATATGATAATATCATCCATCATATACTGAATGGGAAGTCGCCGTGGCGTAGCGGCTAGACGGTCCAGCCTTAAGTGGGTACCGGGTGCAGTCCCGGAAAGTAAAGGCGGCCGACGTGATGTTAACCACATCACCCCTCTTGTGCCGATTAGTCTATAAAATATAGGTCTAGCCCTATATGCCTTATAGCCTAAAGGCGTGGAAAAGAGCCCTTTACTTACTTTAAATAATGATTGGTCTATAAATTATAGTATATACATTATTTATAATTAGAAATTCATAATCTGTTTAAACCACCATTGATCACTGGCATCATGAGAGCTAATAGACTGAAATGGTTGGGGCATATTGAAAGAATGTCAGATGATAGATAAGTACAAACTGTATACACTAGGGAGATATAATAATCTGCTTCTCGCGTGAAAAGTCAGCAGAGGTGTCCAGGAGTGGGTGCTGCAGGAGAGGACACAGCCAGATCAGGCCATTATCCTTCGACTCAGAACAGGGCACAAGCGACTACGCAACCTCATGTACATAAAATTCAAGGCAGGCGTATCAGCCCCGGGCAACAGAACATGTACTCCAGAACTGCACCGAAAGATACCAGTTAAGGCACACTTCTTTTTTGGGGGAGCGGGGGGGGGGGGGGGGGGGGGAACAACAGAGGAACATCAACTTTACGGACGAGTAAATGAACTAAACACGTCATTGCAATTTATACAAGAGACAACATTGCTGATGTAGTCAATTGATATCAGTCAAACGAAAGAAGAAAACGAAGGGATCTAAGCACGTGTGTAAATGCCCGATGTTCATTGACATCGAAAGGATAACATTATATTTTCTAAGCAGAAATAATAACAGAGAGATGGTAACAGACATAAAACAGTATAGAATTCGTATTTTTAGGAATATGTGAAACAAGGTGTATATGGTGTTTCATAAGTTCCCACACAGCAACTGAGTATTGGCAATTAGACCACTTTTGGAAGCCGCGAAGTGTAGTGGCTAGACGCATGCCTGCGAATCGGAAGGTAGTGGCTAGACGCAGGCCTGCCAACCGGAAGTGTAGTGGCTACGGGTCCTAACTTTTTTCAAAAATTACCTTGGCTCCAAGGTCTACTCAGCCTTAAGTTAGTACCAGATGCAGTCCATGGGAAGTAAAGGTGGTTAACATATGCTGATCACATCACTCACCAAATGCCGATTGCTCTATATAAAATAGGTCTAGTCCTATATGCCTAGTACACTGGAAGACCTGGAAAGTGGTCCTGTGCTTACACAACTTTCAAATTAATCAGTGATTTTGAGACCTTATATAGTGAAGACAAGAGATTAAAGCAACCGCAGAGATGGGATTTGCCAAATACCTCTTTGCAGGCTGTCTCCGTTTCTCTGCCACGGCAACCGTCCCTGCCTGGCAGGCTGATGCTCCATGCTTGAGGACAGGCTGCGATCCAGGTCGCGTTTATGTGTCAGCCTCCTATGTTTCTGCCTGGATGCCACAAGACTACGTACATAAATATCCGCCTACTCGAGTCCCATCCCGATTTTTAAGTTTACAGACACATCTCTCAAATTTGGACATTTACTTGCCGCATCCTCGTCAAGTGAAGCTAGTTGTAAAACTCGCAACAAACACAACTTTCCCTTAACGGTCGTAAATGACACGAGTCGGACGCCATTTAAAAATGGACGAACTCGATCATCAAAACAACCACGTGGATCTGCTTGGGGGAGAGCAGCCAAGAGCAGGAAATGGCCTCGTAACTTTGAAGGGTACACTAAAAGTTTACGTCGTTGCATTGCTGTTGGGATAAAGCCACTTTTTATTGTCCACTATAGGTGGAAACATGTTCAGCATTACCCCAACAACTTCCGCCGCAGCTTTTGCCTGGCATTGGCACTGGAGACGGGGATGCTGCAAAAGTGGAGCTATTACCTTCAAACTGAATGTCTGTCACTGAAGTTTTAGATCCGGATAAACATCTTGTCATTTACATTTCCGATTGTAAAACAGTGGAACTGTAAAACAGGGGTTCGCAAATTGTTAGCAGTCGCGGGGCTTCGGAAAGGCAGAGATTGCAACTCTTTAGACTATGCAGATTTTGCAGGAAGCTTTGTTTAGAATATAGTGGTAGTACGTTGTCTTCGGAGCTAGGCTGTGTGTGTGTGTGTGTGTGTGTGAGAGTGTGTGTGGGTGTTTGTGTGTGTGTGTGTGTGTGTGTGTGTGTACGAAAAAGTGCCCCAGACAGCAAAAGAGGTACTCCAGAACTGCACAGAATATGACACATTAAGACAAATCTTTAAGCCAGAAAGA